TGAGGTCCTATTGGATTGGGGTGGCCCTAAATCCAACATGACAGGCGACCTTGTAAAAGAAGAAAAGACAGACACTGCTGGAAAGGGAGAATGTCGCGGAGCTACACAAGCAGCCTGGGTGATGGACCCAGGAGCCACCAAAGCCCAAGGTTTCTGAGGGCCAGGAGAAGCCAAGAGCCAAACACGGATTCTTCCCAGGGGAATTCAGAGATGGAGGCCCTGCCAGCACTTTGATTCAGGACTCCTGGCCTGCTGAGCTCAGAGAGGAAATTTCTTTTGCTTTAAGCCACGCACTTTGTGCTAACTGGCCATGGCAGCCCTGGCAGATAAAGAATCATTCCTGGAGGAAAGATCAGAAGGCTATGGAACCATCCTGGTTTCTCAAGCACAGAGGACTCACAGTGCTAAGAACAGGAAGGTCCCGGCCAAAACAGGGACAGGTTTTCCACTCCACCCTCTGACCCAAATCTGCCTTAAGCCATCTGAGTCACTGGATCCTCCAAGGGCCACCTCTCTCCTGAGAAGCTCCCCTTTCTAGGTTCATATGTGCCCTGCTCTCAGATATGAAATTCCTTCTGATGGCTCACAGGAATGCAGCCATTGTGTCCAAACCCCTTATCCCTTTGATATGTTGTACAACTGAAGAGTCAACCCAAAGCCTGGTATGTTTGGAAGATGGTGGGGTGCTGTGCTTATCCGGAGATATCCATGGAGGCATTCCTGGCCCTGTGCTGTCGGGAGGTGGGGTCTGCTTGGAGGTGGTCACAGAAACCGTGAGCTGGAAGGCTTGTTCTGCTCCCTGGCTCCTCCCCCTCTGCTCCCTGCCGCCATGGGTTAAGCACCTTTTCCTCACCCTGGCCCAGGCCACACTTTCTCTCTCAGAACCAGCTGACCAGGGACTGAAACTGTGAGCCAAAGTGAACCTCTCCTTCTTTGAGTTCTGGGTCTTGGTGCATTTGTCCTGGAGAAGGACACACCTACATCTGCTTTCCTTGTTGGTTCTATATGGGACCAAGATCCAGTAATGTGGCCAGCACTCTCAAAACTTCCTCCTCCCTCCTGTTCCTTCATCCATTAAACCAACAACACTCCTTCCAATTTCAAGAATCCACCCATTTTTTAAATATTTCTGCTACCCAACCCTGACCTCAGTTCCTCACCTCTGCTAGCTTTGACCACAGCAACAAAATGGGCTCTCCCTGCTCCCCTCTGCCACCTTCCAAACTGAAGATGAGCTTCCTCAGATGCCTCTCAGTGCCACAGTATCTCGCCCACTATCACTGACCACATCAGCACTGACCTCAGTATCACTGACCACATCAGCACATCAAACTTCGCCTCCTCCCTCATTACTGAAACTAAGATGTTGTGACTCACGGTGTAGAATATTTGCCAGGATGCTGCAGGCTTCCTTGCCCCCGTACCTCAGGCCTTATCACGTGCTCCTTTCCTCCCCTGAACACCTCATCTTCACCAGTTCCTAAACCCCATCCAGCAGTCACCTGGAACTCAGCTTGGGCCTGAGTCCCATTTCCTTAATTAGCCACCTGCTGCAGCCCAGGCTGCCTGGCTTCGATGCTCCTCTCCTGGGTTCCAGGCACCCAACACAGACACTCGCCAGAATCAAATGCAATGGCCCTTTTGGTTCACCTTCCTAAATCAGTCCAAACTGCATTAACAGGAACTGGGCTTTGCCTCTGTCACCTCAATGTTAGCACAGAACTTGCTCATATTGGACACCTATTCAACATCTGTTGGATCTCCACTCAAAATTACAAACACATAAACTAAAAATACAATGATAGATTTGGCACAAATCCCAAAGCCTGGTGGCACACTCTGATGGAAAGGCTGTAGAGAAGTAGCTATTTATATCAGAGGCAAAGAGATTATGAAATAGAGGTGCCCTCACGCAAAGGAATTGGGTGACATCTAGCAAAACCACTCATGCATTTACCCTTTGACCAAGAAATGCCAATCCTAGGAATCCCTTCCAAGGGCACTTTTGCAAAACTATTAAATAATGTGTGCAGGAGGCCCCATTCACTGCAACACTGTCCGCAGTTGCAAGGACAGAAAATAACAGAGCCTTTCTAGTAGGGAATTCTTAAGGAAACTAGGGCACGCCATAGTGGAGAGCCATGTGGTCAGAAAGAAAGACTGCTATGAACTGCTACACTCCACCAGGGACTGGGCTCTACAATCTATTGTTTTGCAAAAAATGTACTCCAAGCCAGGAATGGTGGCGTACACCTATAATCCAGGTACTCTGGGAGGCTGAGTCAGGATTGCAAATTTAGGCCCAGCTTAGACAATTTAGCAACTTACCAAGACCATATCTCAAATTTGAAACATAAAATACATAAGGGCATGGGATATAGCTCAGTGAGAAGGCCCTGGATTCAAAGTCCAGCACCACCAAAAAGAAAAACAAAGTGTTCCATAAATACAAGTTGTATATACGGCACATTTTATCTGACAGTACAGGTATATATTTATGTGTATGTGTACAGCTTTGTTTACATTACAAAAGAAGTATAAAGCATAAAATATAAGTAGAGATTCAGCTAAATGAAGAGAGAGGAAACAGAGTGAAGAGAATAGGGAGAAAAGATAGATTTCTCCAAGGCCTCTCATTTCATCAATTTCACTTTGAAACATACAAGAGATGATAGTAGATTCTAAGAATCAAAAGCAAATTTAAATAAAAGAAATTAACCCAGTTTGAGATTGGTGGCATAATCACATGGAAGGAAATGACCTCAATTTATTCTAAAGCAATAATTCTGCAAGAATCGCCCAGCAAACTATGTATACCAAGGACCAAAGGAAAAGAAAAAAGTCATCTTAAAAGGTTTTCAATAATCAAAAGCAGCTATGTTTGCACAGAGCTGTTATTCTGCAATAACAGGGTGGGTGCTGTGGGAAAAAGCAGAGGAATGAACACATGAGTCTGCAGACATGGAATTCTGTGTGGGGAGAAAAGGAGAAAGATGTAGACAGCAGAGGTCAAGAAAGGCCCGAGAGCCGCGGAGATGAGCTAGAAGTATCAGAGAAACTTACAGTGCATTTTATTTTTGAAAATATTTCTTGGAACTGTACACTACAAAGAAATATCCATGAGCAACTTTAGTGCTTGAAGCAGCAAGAAATATGCAATTCCCAAGCTGCGGAAGGAAGCAGGGGAATGGGATAGGAACACCCTGTGATCCCAGAGAGTAAAACAGCAATCAGAGATGATTGGGTGATGTCAGGAGAACTCAAGACACAAACTGAGATGTTCCCCCAGGCTAGAAGCCACAGTTTCAACACCTACAAGGGTAAAAGCTGGGATAGATTAAAATACAGCAAATGTGCGGAAATCCACATATCAATGATAATATTAATCTGATGAAGGGAGGAGGAAGCAGACAAATATCTTCCTGGTCCCCATGGAAGACCAATGTATGACTAGTTGGATGTCAGAGAAACAACAACTTACTCATCACAAAAAACCTGTAGAAGGTGGAAAGACATTTATGCTGCCTTTCCTAGCTGGACCTTTAGGAAACTTAAGTAGCTTATGAAGGAAAGCTAGTGTGTTAGAGGAGCACTCTACACATGAGATGAAGCAAGAATAATAAAATTAGAAAATCCCAGATGGGGTCCCAGGAGTGAATCTGCACTTAGGTGTAACGGTCGATGGTGGGTTTCCCAAGTGAGAGTTACAGGAGTGCACAGGATGTCACACGCCACCAGCAAGACAGAGACGCCAGCCTGAACCTAAGCGGGTATCTGGATAGCACTGCAGATTCAGAAAGATGTTCTGAAGAGAAGAACATGTGCACAGTATGTGTGCACAGACGCATGAAACCCCACAGGAAAAGGGTTCAGTTTCTTTACAAATTATCTGCATGAAGAACAAATAAAGGAGACTAAAGAAATAGACCAACAAATTGCAGTGTACGGACTTTATATAGATCCTGATTTGATCTCAGTGTTGACCAAAAATGCAGGGCATCCTGAGAACCTCTCCATCCTCACCAGACAACTCATGATCTCATTAAATCACCATTGTTTGCAGATTTGGGGGGGGGGGTTCCTTCTAATAATGGTATTGTAAGGTCTTTTTCTTTGAGAGTTATAACCTGAATTGTGGAAGATAAAATTATATGATTTTTTTAATTTGCTGCAAAATGGTTCGATGGTCTAAGATGGAGCATAGGTGGGATTTAAATGGATAAAAAATGGGCCACGAATTGAGAAGCATGAGAATGGCTCTTCTTTAGTCCTTTCTTCTTCTTCTCCTAAGTTTAAAGCTTATTATATAAAGTTTTTAAAATAGCAAATTATAAAGCAACTTGTTGAGTGAATTAATAAAATCTAAGGTCTGATTTAGGCTAATGTAATTCAATCAGGTCAGGACAATGAATCATTTTGTTTTCATCCTGAATCCTTCAAGTAGCTTAGACATAAAAACTGTACAATTTTTTGATAAATGTACAATTTTTTGATAAATGAAAGAAAAAATGAATGGTTATAATGAAAGTTAGTTAACTAATCACACAGTTTCATGGAGATACCTGAGACATTGAACTAATTCTGCTGCCAAGCAGTACCAGTTAGGGGTAAAGGAGTGAGTTTTGTGGTAAGATGAAGGCTTTGCTGGAAAAAGCCAGAGTGAAGAATTTTTTTGCTTTAACTTGGTTTTGTTGTTATTCTGTGAGTCTTGTTTTTAATTCTCTGGCTCAAATGCCTAGGAGACCAGCAGCATTAGTTCATTGAAGTTGGTCTCAAACAATGGGATTTTCTACCCATGGTGATCTCTTCTCGGAACCTTCAGGAGGGAAGAACCACTTTTTGAGGACTTTTTAAAAATTTTGGATTTTATTTTAAACAACATCCAATCAAGAGTTGGAGAATAGTAGACTAATAGGCACTCTATTTATTGTTCTCTGCCAGTAAATGCAGAATCTGCACATAAGTGGCAGCTTTGCAATCAGAGCTCACTGGCACCTCACCTTTGTAGGAAATGACTGGGTGCTCAGCTCTCTGGCACTGGGCATCTTGTGCCTCCAGCTGGGCCAGTCTCCACAGCTCCAGGCTGGAGAACAGCCACGCGAGGGCGCAGGCTCCCTTCATGGTGGGCAAGGCGTCTCCAACTCCAGGCACTTGTCTTCTACAAAGCTGGTCTTCCCCTCATGTGGGAAAAGTGCCTAAAACACACAAAAGAGAACAACCTGGTGAGTGTGTGCTCAGGTTTTCTGGACGATGGTGTTTTGGAACAGCCTAGAACTAAGCTCAATGTTATAATTTGTGGAGTTGAGAGACCTTAAAGAACATGCACAATCTACTTTTTTTCTAGTTGATGCTGAGAGAGAGAGAGAGATTATAGATCTCTCTAATTTTATAAGGTAACCCAAGTTTAAATTCTACTGAGTCACCCCAATCACTTCTAAGTAAAGCCGGTAAGGTAAAGAGGTCGCTGAGTGGTCACTGAGTGGTTTCCCTTGGAAGTTTGTCATCATTTTCTGTGCAAACAAAAATCTAAATATGAAAACCTTAGAAATCCCTGCCCATCCATTTTCACATCCAAAATGCCCTATACAATAGGGCCGCTGCCACTATCTCACCAGAAACCTGATGAGTATTACACTGCCTAACTCATAAACAGTCCATATTTGGTACATGTGTCCTTTTCAACTAACAGATGATCAGCCTGTGAACATTCTGGCTAGAGACCAAGTGAATCAAACAGACTCTAGATTCAGCAGCAACTGAGTGGAAGGAAAGTACAATGTTGGGGGCTGGAAAATGTAACTGATTATGAACAATTTAAAACATTAACAAGCTTGAAAGGAAGATAAGCTTGTAAAAACAACCAGACTCCCAAGTTCTTAGCAACCCACAAAAAAAGGAGTGATTTGAGAGTTCAGGCAAAGTAGTGTTGCCCTTTAGAAGGGACAAGGAGAGACCCTGGGAGGAATTCGTGTTCAAGTTTGATACTGAAGGATAAAGAGGATTTCCACAGGTGGAGATTTCTAGAACATCATTCCATGCCAAAGAAAGAGAATGAAAGGCACACTAGGGCATGCAATGTGTTTGGGGATATTGTATTATACTTATCCAGATGCTGGTGACCACAAAGGGGAGCAGATGAAGAGCTGAAAGACAGAGTTACCATCGGGAAGGCAAATCATACTAAAGTGCGAGGTCTTTACTTCCTGTAAAGAAGCTACCATAACATATGTGTTGGTTATCTTTGCTGGGGCCAAATACCTGACACCACAACTTAAAGGAGGAGAGGTTTACTTTGGCTCAAGTCTCGGAGGGTTTAGTCCATGGTTAGATGGTTCCAAGGTAGCTACTGCTGTTCAAATCATGGTTGCCAGAAAGCAGAGTACCGTGGAAAAGCACCTAAGAGAAGAGTCAGGGACCAGATATAGCCCCCCAGGTCAACCTCCAGGACTCACCCAAACACACCCAGAAATGTGCTTTACTAGTCCACTAAATGCCTCACAAGCCAACCAAGTTGACAAACAAGATTCACCATCACAATATATTAATTTCAGAAGGAATATTTATAAAGCCATTCTCACAATAGTGTACATCGGCAATTACATAGAGTATACAGACGGTTACGTTATTTTGAAACTACTACAATTGTTCAGAAAAGAAATAGATAAAGCTGACTTTAGGTGCTGTAAAATGAGAATAAATGCAAAGGCAAAGAGAAAATAATAAACAGAGGAGGTAAAAGCCAGTATGGAAATGGTCATAGTTCAGGCCAAGGCTCCTTCTCTGAATCTAGCTTGGATCTATGGTAGCTCTGCTCAATGATCAATACAACAGAAGTGCTGGGAGGCTTGTTTCCAAGATCAGTCCCAAAGAGACTGGCAGTTTCTACTTCCTGTCTCTGAGAACACATCCTTTGGGGCAATTGTGACCTCGGGACAGAACTCCACCTATCTTGCAGCTACCCTGACAGAGAGGTCACAGTTAGGAGCTCTGGCTGACTGGTCTCACTGCTGGCAGTTACATATTTATCCCTGCCACAGCACTGAATATGGGATGAAAACCGAAATCCACAGCCAAAGAGTCACACAAGTCCCAAATTTCGGATCCATAAAATATAAAATATAATGACTGTTGTTCTAATCTGCTAAATTTCTGAAACATGGAGCAAACAGGCACAGATGGACTCCAAATTGATAATGGAAGTAACTCTGCAGACAGGAATGTCATTCATTTAAATACTGTCATCAAAAGAGGGGTTTGGTTTAGATGAGAACATTATCACTGAGGCTTGTACATGTTGGGTTTCAGATGCTGAATGAATATTTAGGGAAATGCAGTAAACTGCTGAAGTTCCAAGTTGGGTGCTCAGAAAGAAAACAATTCATAGATAGCACATAAAGTATGGAATGGTTAAAATCATAAACTTGGTTGATATTTACTAAGGGGAAGCATCAGAGGAATAAAGATAGAGAAAGTTGTTTGCTCAAAAGTAGTAATCAAAAGAAATAGCAGAAAGAGGAGAAAAAAGAACAGAGAGGAGCATAAGGAACTAGGCCTCCTTGACGTCAAGCTAGGTATTGTGCTTCCTGGGTGCAGAGAGAAGTAAGGTATTTACCAAACAGAGTACAGGCTGCCTGCATCTTAATAACACAAAGCAGTGACCACTGAGACCCCTGGCTTCAGCTGGCCCGTGCTCAGTGGTCAGCAGGGAGAGAGGTCCTGCAGCAATAACAGAAGACAGAACCCACATGGCAAGGAATTAAGACAAAGAAGAGGTGCGGGGGACTGCTCCCCTCAATGCTCAGTGAACAAAAAGCTGCAATGAAATCAGATAACATTAAAAGAAAAAAATGAGGAAAATTTTAGAATAGAGAAAACAAATTGGTACAGTTTGAGTTATCTCCCCCAAAATTCGTTTTTCAATGTCACTTTCAACGTAATGATATCAGGAGCAAGGTTTTAACAGATGCAAGACTAATGTCTTCTAAAGGATAAGGAAATGGTGATAGGAATTCTAGAGTAGAAGGGCTAGGAATGTGGCTCAGAGACAGTATATGTGCTCATTATGCACAAGGCTCTGGGTTCAATCCAAAAACCAAAAATTAATAAATAAATGTAAGAAAAATTGATGAATCCAATAGGAGTTGATTCAATATCAAAAAACTAACTAGATAGGATGATCCATGTGGATTTAGTCTCTCATTCACTCGTTATTTATTGAGTGCCAATTGCATGCTCACCTCCTCTCTATATTCATGTACGAATTATGGGTATAAAGAAATAGGAAAGGAAAAATTATGAGAAAGAAAAAAAAATGGAAACAAAGTCTATGTAAATAGGGAAGGGTGATGGGGGTGAAGGGCACATAAGTAATGGGGAAAAAAATAAAAACTAAGATATATCATGTTCAGCAACAAACACCCAATGATAAATGTAAATGTATTGTATACCTAAAATGGACCAATTAATATATAAATTTAAAAAAAGAAATGTAGTACGGGATTCACCAAAACTAAGACTGCCAGAGCAAGTAGAATTTGAGGGCTTTAAGAATGGAACAGATTCTAGAATGCTCCCATATTCAGACTGTGCAGAAAAGCAAATGAAAATCCTGCAAACCAAGGCAAGACAGGAACCTGGGCTCTGCAGGAATAAGAGATGCTGAGGATGGCAGCGGCAGTGGAACAGAAAGGAGAATGGGGGTCCAGAGGCCCATCTGTCCCACAGTCAACCTGATGGTCCCCAGGTACAGGGCACTGGAATGGACAATAGATGGACAAATGCTGATTTTCCTGGATTACAAAATTAAAAGTATGATTTTCATCCTTGGGAAAGGAGTCATAGCCTTCCAAACTGGAGGCCACTCTATAACTCAGATCCAGAGCTAAAGATATGATGTAGCCCATTCTTCCCTATCCTCCTGACCTGAGACTTCAGACACGGAATTTCATCAAGTGGTATGTCTTTAAATAGCTCTATTTTAGAGAAATGTATTTCTGTGAAGACCAAGGAGGTTTGGGCCACCACACCAGCCCACTCAGGAAGGGGTTTGGGTACATTTTCACAGCCCCACATCAAAGCCAACCAGCAATGATAAAGATAAACCAGGAGGAAGATAAAAGTAAGAATAAACCCTCAGGGCATGCCAGCTCTGTAATGGGCAGGATGCCAGTGTTTAAAGCAGTATCAACAACACATGGCTTCTCACCAAGCAGCGTGGCACACAGGAACACACTAACCTATGCCAGCCTCCAGGATTGAGCTCAAATCAATGAGCAGCTAAGAACAAATGCTTCTCTTGTACATAGCTGGTCAGTGTCCCAGACCCAAGCCAACACAGAAAACCATTCTGTTAATGCTGATGTTAATCATCTTTCTATTACTGTGACAAAACATATGAGAAAATCAACAGAAAAAGAGGCGATATTATTGTGGCTCATGGTTTAAAGACTCAGTCTACAGTCACTTGGCCTTATTGTTTTGGGAAAGTGGAGGTACAGTGAATCACAGTGGGAGTGTGTGGAATTGGGGGCCTATTCTCCTCTTGGTGGCCAGGGAGCAAAGAGAGAGATAGGAAGGGGCCAGGCCCCACACAACCTCCAAGGGCAAACCCCCAATGACCTAACTTCCTCCCGCTGACTCCATCTCCTAAGGTTCCCAGATCGCCATGACCTGGGACTATGCCTTCCAAACATGGGCTTTGGGGACACTGAAGATGCGAGCTTCAGTTATGAAGCAAGTTACACACACCTATGTGCAAGTAGAGCCTTCCTTCCCTTACAATGAGCCATCCCCTCCAATCCCAGCTCTAACAACCTAGCCTCAAGAATGAAAGGAAGAGAAACACGACACCAAAGTGCCTGAAGTGTTCTTTCCTTGGGATTCAGAAAGGGACAATTAGAGAAGAGGGCAACACCATGATAAATGAAAGAGCAGCTAAAATGGACCATAGGGCCTATGGTGAGCAGATGAAATTACAGGTTTGCTAGGTTAAAATTAGGGGAGCACATGTAATGAGAACAGGTAATTTTTGGAAGTTTATGTTTTTCCAACTCAAACATGTTACCTTTTCTCTTAAACATAAAGGAGCTATGAACTGCCATCATGGCCAGATGGCAGGGAAGGGCACTGGCAATGTGCATGGAGAGGCATGAGCTTTTCCGAGCATCCTTCTATGCAAGGCTATTGCTCTGGTCAT